GCCAATAAATCCGAAAGAAAAAGATTTTCATTAAATTTTCTAAAAGAGCGATAACTTATAGTTATGTGTTGCCGCGAGGGTACACATAATCTTTTTGTCGAAAAAGTACAACAAACAGGGAAGTGGTCACTAACACCACAAGAGGGGACACAGACCTCTATTAGGTTGCAGTCAGGTGATGCGTATATGTGGTCAATTATTGTACTTGATTTATCATTTACCCTGGTAGCCGTGTGCACAAATTGTTTTAGATTCAAAGAATCAATAATATCTTGCCAATATCCTTGAGGTTTTAATAAATTTATACTAAAATCTCCCAATATGATATATTCATTGTTAGTAGATCAAACGGTATCCATCATGGAGCAAAAACGATCATACCAATCCATGTTTTCACAGGGATTTCTATAAAGGAAGCAAATTAAAATTGCCGGATGGTGTTTGCTTTTTTCGAGTTCAATCCAAATACATTCTATATTGTCCGTTGACAGATCCTTCCTGTACTTGAAACGAATTGAGGAGTGGACATAGACACAAAGGCCAGTTTCTTTGTGTAAGGATGGGTCTCGGCGTATTAGGTTATAATCAGAGATGGATATCTCATCATCATTTATAAAAGATTGTAATCGAGTTTCAGAGAAACCAAAGATATGGAAAGGATTGTTGGAATTGTTTAAAATTTTTAGAACTTCATGGTGTTTATTAAATATGTGGAAAATATTTAAATGGCCCAATTTTAGCCCACTTTGTGAGGGCCAGGATGATGAAAATAGACAATGCATAAAGATAATAAAATATCAATGAATAAGAGATGTTATAAACAAAAATCAATATAATGAACTAATTAAACAGAATCAATATAATTGTCTTACAATTACACGCTTTGTCATCAACAAACACTCGCTGCTCTTCACACTGCCTTATTATCTATCTCTCTTTCTCTCTCTTTCTCTCTCTCTCTCTCTCTCTCTCTCTCTCTCTCTCTCTCTCTCTCTCTCTCTCTCTCTCTCTCTCTCTCTCTCTCTCTCTCTCTCTCTCTCACTCTCTCTCTCTCTCTCTCAAAATAAATACCTATATATAAATATATATATATAAATATACACATATATATATAAATATTGCTATATAAATGTACAATAGTATCAGTATGTATTATAATTAAAATAGTACAGTGAGCTAAACTAGTAAATAGTAAAAAAAATGGCGTCAACTTGTTTACTTCCGGAATTGATGTCAACTTTCTTTCATAGTTCTTAGTGTTTTTATTCACTATTTAATCCAAAAAAATCTAAGGGAAGTACTACTCATCCATTAGGGTTGAGAATGTAGTTTAGTACTAATTTACTAGCCGGTTCTTATTGTGATATTTTAAGTTTTTATTTTATTGTCTCATCCATTGTTAAAATGTAAACCGGATATCTATATTCTCAGTTGTTGTAGATCTACTGATGATTCGTTTTCTTTTTCATCTATTTCTACTGATGTCAGCATGATATTTTTTTTAACTCCAATTAGCCATTTTATGAAGATTTACTATCAGCGCGGAGCTTTCAAAAAACGCCCACCAACACAACAAAAACACCCATGTAACAGCCGACAGTCTTTACTTAGAAAAGAAACAAATTGTATTGAAACCACGTTCAATCCTAAGAAAATCACGCTTGATGTGTTAGATAAATGCCGCCTTTATGACTTGCTTTATTAAAAGGACTTGTGCCAGTAAGTGAGGCGTGTTAGTGCTGTGTTGGGAAATTGACAGATTACACGTTGTCTGCCAACTTGGCTAACTGACAGAGATCTTATTCATTCGTTTTCACGTCAGATTTAAAGTTGACCAAATCGTCAGAATTCCCGTGCAAGCTATGTTTAGACTACCACATAGTCTTGGTTCAGTGCCATGTTGCTAACGTTATGACGTATGTTTCTTTATAAAATAAATATCACCGCGCTGTGACAAGAGTTGAGTTAAAGTATCAACATTTTTTATCAATTTTCAACAATTTTAAAGAGAGCAGATACAGTAAGTTTTTTTATCTCATGCTCAGAGTTCTAGAGAAGAGATGACATTTTACATTCTATTAGAAGTCTAATATTTATATTAAGTAACAGCCGTTAACAATGTTAATGATCTCCTTGTTATTTGTTTATGGCTTCAAGTCTGACGTTCTTGTGACAAAAGATCTAATCTAAACACTTTTATTACATGTGTAGTAAGTATTTAGGTTGATTTCTGTGTCGTTACACTTTAGCGACCATAGATTCCTGATGATTAGGGCACAAAAACAAACTCGGCTTTTAAAAAATTGTCAGCTTAGATTGTTATAACAGCGCAAATTGTATGCCAGTCATTTTCTTTTGGAAACTCATCCACACCCCCCCCCTTCTCATCCTCAATTGCAAATGTATGCAAAAAAATCTGATTTATAACAGTCGATTTATAATAGAGCATCAGCAAAAACATATTGTATTGATGTTTAAGCTACTAACTCAAATTTTTGCACATCTACACCAATGTTAAAGCTCATAAATATTTAAGTCCTGTAGCTCAAGCGAAATGGGCTGATTACCAAGAAGTTGGAGGTAATATTTCCCAAATGGAAAATACAGCACGTCAAACTCACTGCTAAATGATAAAATATGTATTTCAGTAGACGTTCATTTTACACTTAACTCACATGGGTACATTTTTATTTAATAATGTGGGAAAACAACAGCATTATATCAAAACACTAAAATGCTAATAAAGACTATTAAGTTAAGTATTATATATGAAATACCTATCCTAATTTAAGGGAGTTTGCTGATCTCTCTACTCAGTGGATTTAAATGCACTAACTGCTCACAACATGCATGGCATCAGTGTTTTCTTCTTGTCCCTCTACGGGTGGTGGCCTCCATTAGCCCCCCCCCCCCTCAATCCCCCTTTAAAAACATGATAATGTGTGTTTTAACCTCGTTCTAATTATCGATTAATCGATTATCTAGCTAATAAAAGTTCATTGCCGGCTGCTTAAGTCGCCGTGTTGGATATTCCATGAGCAACAAGGAACAAAATTATTCATATAGCTGTAACATGGCATTTGTTGGGTAATGAGAGTTGGTGTAAACGTATTGTTAGCTTTTACTACCTTTTTAATGAAGCATTTATATATTTCTATATTTCTATATTTCTATATTTATTCATTAATTCATTAATTCATGCGTTCGTTCGTTCGTTCTTTCGTTAGTTCGTTCGTTCGTTCGTTCGTTCGTTCGTTCGTTCTTTTGTTCGTTCGTTCGTTCGTTCGTTCGTTCGTTCGTTCGTTCGTTCGTTCGTTCGTTCGTTCGTTCGTTCGCTCGTTCGTTCGTTCGTTCGTGCGTGCGTTCATTCGTTCGTTCGTTCGTTAGTTCGTTCGTTCGTTCGTTCGTTTATTTAAGTATTTATTTATTTATTTATTTAATTATTTATTTATTTATTTATTTATTTATACTAGAAGCTTGTCTCACTTAATTCTAAATTAAATCATTTCATTGCAAAGTATATCCTTCACAAGAGAACAAATCACACACAGAACTCATTTCTGACTTGCAATAATCAAATTTTAAAATTTCTTATTTACGCCAAAAAAAAATTATGAATTGTAATAGTGCTCCCTCTTATTTCGCAAGTTGGTCAGAATACTATGGATCAAGGAAACTTGATATGTGTAATGGTTTCCTTTTTATCGCTTAGTCATTTGTCAGGATGCTGAAATTTAATACATCTTAAGAGTAGAATTTTTAGTTTTAATTCTCTTAGTAAAAATCTATTTGTATCAATTTTATCGGCACCCCGATTCGACTACTTAAAGGAGAGAATAAGTGGTTTAAAGATATGCCTATTTTTCATACTTTAATAGAATGTGTGTAGAAAAAAAATATTTTTAACAGTGTCCCACCTCCGCTGGAATTTTAGTCCGTCTGGCCATCCCCCCCCCCCCCCCCTTGAAAATTTCAAGTAGTTCGTGCTAAATAGATCGCTACGCCTTTGCATGTAGTCAATGTAATCTAATCAAAGTTGTAAATTATTAGGTGCTTTTAAATAATTGCGATTTCACATTTTTGCACCCCCCCCCTACGGCCAGCGCCCTAGGCGACCACCTATTTCGCCTTATAGGTAGCGCCGGCCCTTCGAGTGACCCCCTATATAAACTCATTGATTCTATGGATCAATTTTGCTGCAGTATTTGAAATATAATTAGGCAGATTTATAAGCTCTTTTTTTTTTTAATAATTCTTGTAAAACAGCCTTATTTCAGTAACTTAAGGACTAAATGTTAACTGTTAAATTATTGTATCGATACTTCAAAAAATGGTTTTACCGCAGACGATCATTTCGCGTCATTTCATTAGCAAACTGGTAGGGTTGGCGTACATTACTTAGAGTTAGCTCTAACGTATTAATTAATTAGATAGATGTAAAATGATTAAGAATTTACACTTCACTACATTTATAGATTCTAGTTATAGAGCTTCTAGATCTTGTTGGTCAGCTGTGTATCTAGTTGACTAGAAATCTATATCTAAACTTAACTAATCCTAGAGATAGAGATCCTAGAAATAGAGCTAGATCTAGATCTAGAATCTAGATCTAGGTTAGACTACTCTAGACTCCTAGCCTATAGTACTGATGTTATCTCTCTACAATCTCAAGTTTAAACAAAACTACTTTTAAAGCTAGATCTAGATCTTAATTAACACTTGAGTCTATGTCTAAATTCTAGAACTTTGAGACAACTACCTAGTTAATAATAAACTGTCTAGACTAGATTTAGGTCTAGATCTAGTCAAAGTGCTCTACTCTACTAGACTAGGCCTACAAGAATCTAGAATTTACACTTTAAAAGACTTTACTTTAAAAGACTAAACTTGAACAGTGTAAGGAATCTAATTTATATTCAAGATTAATCAAGATCTGCATTCTATAAGAGAGTGACTATTTTTACTTCTTTAAACTTAGACGCGGATTTGAACTCTGTGAAATTCAGAATAAACAAATAATGACTGACGAATCAGGTGTATTCCTTCCAGGTAAGATTTACTAACGTATAAGGCAAACATAATGTAAACAATTAAATATATGTAGTGGTTTAACATCTAGATGACTTTAGTGAAGTTTATTTAAATAAAATAATTTAATATTATATATAGCATTTATTTTTCTAGAGACATAATATATTTGTTTCAGCTGGAAATCATGAAGCTGAAATGTGCTATGGAGGAGAAGCTGATCTACACAAACATGTGGCAGACTGTAAGAAGAATCCAGGTCACAAAGATTTTATACCTCTTAAAGATTTCAACGCAAGTTGTCTCCCCTCACGTTACCATGGCGACGAGCTCATGTCTGAGACAATCAAAGCATTGGCAGCCCTAACTGTCCAGGTAAAGACTAAATTCACCAGTCTAGAGAGACCAGAGTTTTACCCAGGCTCTAAAGTTCGATATCCATTTTATAATGACAGAGGAAGTCACGTGATGAGGTTAGGAACGGGGAGGGTGGAGAGGGTGTACAAGTACCCAGAGAGTGACAAAACTTGTCGTTGTGCCAAGTGTCAAGTCTCTGCCACACCAAGCAAAGTACGCGGGGAGGTTCGTGTGGTGACTGCCAGACACGTGGTGTTTGATGACAGTGAGGCGAGACAGACCAAGTGTGTTTTAGGTTTTGATGACAATAAAAGTCCTGTGGTCAGTCTTGATGGCTGGGGGGTGTGGGGTGAGGAAGAAATTAAGGGAGACTTGCGTGTGTTGAGTTATTTCACGTGTGACTTAGAGTTGGTTAATGAACTGTGCAAGATGTGTCGTCACTTTAGAGATCTATGTAGTAAAGTAGAGGACAAATACAGGAGATTTGGTTATGTGGACAAGTTGACCGTTATAGTGTCACATCCTCATGGCTGTCCTAAACAGGTCTCTGTAGGACAATGGACACACAAACATAAGAGGGATGGCATTTACTCCAGCTACACCAGGTACTGGTACACAACATGTACATGTCCTGGCTCCAGTGGAGCGCCTGTCTACAGGCCGGGATATGGAAGGTGGCTGTATCAACATCCCCACAGTGGATCAAACTATACAGGAAATTATAGTGGGGTGTATGTTGGCTGATGTAACTGTTAGTTCTCTCCCCTTGTCTGCACGATGTAAACAAACAAAATGGCGGAACTTTTCCCGTCTTTAAACTGTGTTACGACTTGCATGTCTTATCAACATTTTATTACATTTAAATGATTAAAACAAATGTTTTGATTGATGTAAACCTTTTAACCGAATTAATTTACATGTATATTGATGGATTTTTAAGGTTTTTTGGTTTCAAAAGGCCGACATGGACAAAAGGCCGACAAGACGAAAGGCCGACAAGACATAAGGCAGACAGGACATAAGGCCGACAGCCATAAGGCAGACAGCCAAAAGGCCGACAAGACATAAGGCAGACAGGACATAAGGCCGACAGCCATAAGGCAGACAAGTATAAAAAATACTACTATCGCAAAATATATGTTACTGCATAGCTGCTATCTTGACAACCATCAAAATACGGCATGAAATAAAGTGAAACGTTCAAGAGAAGAGACTATTCTAGTTGCTACCCATATAAGGTGTACCATCCGATCCAAGCGACTGAAGATAACGTGAGTGTCTTAAACACAAAGGATCAACGCCTAATTTTTGCGAAATGCGGTCACTACTGTCTTTTATTGCTCCTTCTATGTCAACGAGGTGAGACAATCATCAAAGAACCAAGTCAAAAGCCGTCGCATCATCGCCCACATGCAACAAGGTGGAACGTCAAGAGACAATGCTAGTTGCGATCCTTATAAGGTGAACAATGGGGTCCATGCGACTGGAGATGACGGGAGTGGACAAAGGATAACCAGAAAGATGGTGTTACCACCATATTTCTCAAAGAAATCAAAGAAACCGACTTAAGTAGACAGATCACGTGCTTTGACTGAACTACATGTTAAATACCGACAAATCGTTGAATTATATTTTAGTTTCATCCATTGCGAATTGCGTGAAAAAAGTGTATACTATATTCGTTGGATCCATTAATTATGTTGTGATATTGATAGAAGTGTACCAAAATTGGTAAGTTTTTTGTTTTGTTTTTTGTTAATGTTAAAAAGAAACATTTGATATTAATAAACAAAATACAAGTATGCCTACATATTGTATAAACAGAAAATATGTTATATTTATATATGTAGGTGGGGCAAGTCGACACATGACATAAGACAAAATGTAACAAAGCTACTACAGGGCAGTCTAGTCACCAAACTTTTATTAAACGGAAATAAATTGGTAGTGGTGTCTTTTACTACATCAGCAACAGCTTATAAAATTCCTTGTTAAAATTCTCTGGGGTATTGGCACGAACAGTTACATCATGGGGCGGGGGCGCGAACTGCACCTGGAGGCACCATGTTTTTGTGCCCTTGGATTTGTTCATTTTTTTTTCAACTACACTTGAATTTTTACGTGGCATGGCATAAAATTTGTATTACTAGGCCCTATTTTTTTCTATTTTGTAATATACATTTATCATTATTAAACATGTGCGTAATTGTAGTTTGTTGTTTTATAAAACTTGTCGGCCTTTTGTCTTTTCGGCCTTTTGGCAGTCGGCCTTTTGGCAGTCGGCCTTTTGTCTTGTCGGCCTTTTGTCTTGTCGGCCTTTTGGCTGTCGGCCTTTTGGTTGTCGGCCTTTTGTCTTGTCGGCCTTTTGTCTTGTCGGCCTGTTGGTTGTCGGCCTTTTGTCTTGTCGGCCTTTTGTCTTGTCGGCCTTTTGGATGTCGGCCTTTTGGGTGTCGGCCTTTTGTCTTGTCAGACTTTTGTCTTGTCGGCCTTTTATCCATGTCGGCCTTTTGTCCGTGTCGGCCTTTTGTCCATGTCGGCCTTTTGTCCGGATCCCAATTAAATGTAACCTACCTATCAAATGTCATATTTAAACTGTTTTGTATTTGTTTACAAAATGTTTACACTTAAAGACATTAAATAGTAAAATAAAACATCTTTCTACTGTTGTTATTTAAATCTTTGTTGTCTGTTGAAGTTTAAGTTGTTGTCAAACAGCGCATGTTGTGATGTCGATGTTGGTGCCAGGATGTCGTGCTACTGAGCTCACATAACTCTAGCTATAAACTTATGGTTACTTCGGTTGCTTTAAGGTCATCCATAAATGACGGCACGCTAGTTTTTATGATTTTTACCTCCCCCCCCCCTCCGTCACACATCGTCACAAAAAGCCAGACTCCCCCCCCCCTCCAAAAAAAGACGTCACACCTCAGTCTACGACACCCCCCTCAAAAATTTCTATATTTTTCTTAAAACATCGATATTTTTCCAAAATTATGTATGTACTCTGTCAACATAGAGTATTTTGATCAATTCCTTTTACAATTTATTAAAACCGTTTTGTAAAAAGCGAAATAACGGCTAAAACTCGTTTTCTAACATTGTTTTTGTATAATGCAAAAGTGTGACGTCACACATATCAGGTACAACAGTTTAAATCATCCTTATGATTTTTTAACAAATTTAATATTAATTATTTTTATTTCATGGTTGTAGAAAAATGTTGGATGTAGTTTTAAATTAGTAACTTAAATAAAATGTTCAGAAAAACCTCTTTAATGTTGGTATAGCATACAACCCTAGACGCATTACAGAGCTCGATAACCATTTTCGCAAATTATTGGGTTTTTTTTAAATTATTTAATCATCGTAGCAATAATTCTCAGCCCATAGCCCCGTGTTATCTGGTGTCTTGTTGAGAACACAGCCAGGAAACTGCTTCTTCAGGTGAGCTTATTGTCTTACTGTAAGAAAAATAATTTTTAATGTTGCAATCGTTTTGTATTCCCTCCGTCTCGATCGAAAAAAATGCTGGGAGTCTCAAAATCTGATACAAAGCAAATTTAATCCACCACAGAATGTTTCACATTTCTCTAGTAAAATATAAGTAAATCAAAGACGTTATTTTTGACAAACCGAAATGTAGTCGTCCCAGCAGCATAAGGTCATTAACAAAAATGTAAGTAAATAAAATAAATATTACATTTTTTTTTAAAATAGCGATTCTGTATACCAACATAACTCCACATTAATCTATGTGTAAAACGTTGAACCATCAAAAATTGTTTGCTGTATAAATTGGTATACTCAATTGATATTTTATATTCAAATGTTTCTCTGAGGTGTAGTATCCGACTTTGATTGCCAACAATAACCACACCGTAATAGATGCTGCCTGTGTAAAATTCAGTCTAAGTTTCTAAATAAGTGAAGATCCTGACTGTTTCTATAAAACTAATACTATCTAGTTTCATTGTTAATTTAAATATGTTGTTAAAATTATAGACATGCATGCATTAATTAAACATCAGGTGGGACGTTTTACCTTGGACAAGGCGACGTCATCACAGTAGAAGTTTCAAGGGTTGATCGACTTTCATCCTGAACAAACATATCTGGGTCTGATCTTCCTAAAAAGGTGTGTTTGTGCTCTGATGTATTTAGACTTTGCATGAAATAATGACTAAATAATCAGAAAGGATCGTGAATTTTTTTAATGTATTCACGAGAAAATTTGTTGCACCTCAAACAAGCCAACCTATTTTTTAATCTACCAAATTAAATAATGTTGGTGTGGACATTATTTACTGACTAAGTTAAGAATTCCAATATCAACTTCCTCAATTTAATTAATAGCAGATTATACTTTGAAGCTTACATTTATTGATTTATCGACTAACTGAATGGCTGATCGATCGATCGATTGATCGATTGATCGATTGATCGATTGATTGATTGATTCAGTGATTCATTGATTGATTCATTGATTGATTCATTGATTGATTCATTGATTGATTCATTGATTGTACTTATTTTATCTGACCATTTTGTCTTTTAGAGCGTGAAAATTTGTGAATAAAATGTAAGTAGAAATCAACATGTTACAATATAGTTATCAGTTATTTTATTCTGTTAATTGCAGGTGACCTTGTCAAATGGAGCAAACA